AATAAAAACAAAAAATAAAAAAAAACAAAATAAAATAAATAAAAAAATAAACAAATACAAAACAAAATAAACAAAATAAATAAAATAAAATAAAAATAAAATAAAAAAAATAAAAAATAAATAAAAAACAAACCTGTGTTATGGGGTGAGTGTTCTAGAGAGTAAACAAACTGCAGCACTTCTCTTTCTATGATTTGTTTTATTCTTTTTAAATCAAAACCATCTGCTGCTGCTGCTGCTGCTGCTGCTGCTTCTTCTTCTCCTGCTGCTCCTGCTGCTGCTGCTGCTGCTGCTGCTGCTGCTGGTGTTTCTGCTGCTGCTGCTGCTATTATACTCCTTATTTTACTAGCTAGATATAAACCCTGCTGCTGCTGCAGCTGCTCAATTTGCTTCTCTTCTTCATATTCATCTTCTTCTTGCTGCTGCTGCTGCTGCTGCTGCTCCTGCTGCTGCTGCTCTTGCTGCTGCTGCTGCTGCTGCTGCTGTTCTTCATGCTGCTGTTGTTTTTTTTGTTTTTTCTTCTTTGCCTGTATTTTTTTCTCTTCTTGCTCTTGCTGCTGCTGCTGCTGCTGCTGCTGCTGATCCTCTCCTCCCTTCTCCCCTCCCCCTTCCCCCCCCCGCTGCTGCTGCTGCTGCTGCTGCTGCTGCTGCTGCTGCTGCTGCTGCTGGTGCTGGTGTATATCTATATCTAGAGCTTCTATATAAAAATTTGTCTCCTTGAAGCTGTCTCCCCCGAAACGGAGACAAGAACAAAGGGGTGTATTTGTTTCTGTTATTTGTTTATTTAATATACTCTGATTGCTATCTAATAAATATAATAATAAAATATATATTTTTTCTTTTTTTTTTATTTCCCCCCATTTGGGGCCCCTAAACCCTATCACTATACTTCCCCCTTCTATATCATCTGCTGGGTAACGTACTATACGCACCACGTTCTTGCTGCTGCTCATGCTGCTGCTGCTGCTGCTGCTGCTGCTGCTGCTGCTGCTGCTGCTGCTGCTGCTGCTGGTGCTGGTGCTGCTGGTGCTGTCTTTGTTGCTGCTGTTTTCGTTGTTATTGTCGGTGGTGGTGGTGGTGCTGCTGCTGCTGTCGTTGCTGCTGCTGCTGCTGCTCTCACTGCTGCTGCTGCTGCTGCTGCTGCTGCTGCTGCTGCTGCTGCAGACAACGAATGGTGGTGTGTTTATAGGGGAAGACCAGGGGGCCCCATAGTAAGAGAGGGGGCGGGGGGGGGGAGAGGGGGGTTGTGTTGCTGCTGCTGCTGCTGCTGCTTCTGCTGTTATGGTTGCTGCTGCTGCTGCTATTACTTCTGCTGGTAATACTTCTCCTGCTGCTGCTGCTTCTGCTGCTGCTGCTGCTGCTGCTGCTGCTTCTGCTGTTACAGCAGCAGCAGCACCATCACCACCACCACCATCACCATCACCACCACCATCACCACCACCACCATCAGCACCACCACCACCACCATCAGCAGCAGCAGCAGCAGGAGCAGCAGCAGCAGGAGCAGCAGCAGCAGCAGCAGCAGCAGCAGATTGAATACGATCAAGAGAATTAGCTAGAAGGTGCAGCAGCTGCTGCAGCGGGAAAGACCCTATAACAGTGACAGCAGCATTTTGTGTTTTATAAAAATATTTATGATAATATAAAACTTTTTTATTATTTGTTGTTTTTATTTTATTTATTTTTCCTCCTGTCTCGTATCTATAGCCGCTATCTCCTTTATATAATAAAGATAAAACAGAATCAAAACATATGCTGCTGCTGCTGCGCTCGCATGCCTCCATCTCGCTATACACCACGCCTGCATACACAAACCCTCGTAAACCCTAAACCCTCATAAACCCTAAACCCTAAACCCTTAGAAACAATAAATCCTAGATGCTTGTGATAAAAGAGAATCAAAACATATGCTGCTGCTGCTGCGCTCGCATGCCTCCATCTCGCTATACACCACACCTGCATACACAAACCCTAAACCCTCGTAAACCCTAAACCCTTATAAACCCTAAACCCTCATAAGCCCATATAAACCCTCATAAACCCCCATAAACCCTAAACCCTAAACACTAAACAACTATAGACGCAGCCCTCCATTTCACTATAAACAAGACCTATACATCCGCGCACAAACCCTAAACCCTAAACCCCAAAACCCTTAAAAACCCTAAACCCTAAACCCTAAACCCTAAACCCTCGGTGGTTTACCTGCGCTTGTTCCGTCTTCTTTAAAATGGTGTACTTCTGTGAGAAAAGAATCATCGGTGAGGGTTGGGAGAAAGAGATGCTCGAGGTAAACTGAGGTGTACATACACCGCAAACCCTAAACCCTCATAAACCCTAAACCCTAAACCCTCATAAACCCTAAACCCTAAACCCTCGGGAGAAAAATTAAGAAAAAAAAATAAATGCAAGTTTGTTTTAATTATAATTAATTATTTATCGAGATGTATTTATACACTTATATTTATATAAACACAGAAAATAAAAAAAAAAATAAAAAGACTGATAGACACACATAAACCCTAAACCCTAAACCCTAAAACCAAAAACCCCAAAAAACAAAAAAACAAAGAACAGAAAAACAAACAAACAAACTAAATAAACAAATAAATAAATAAATAAATAAATAAACAAAATACAAAAAGAAACAAACAAACTAAATAAACAAAAAGACAAACAAAAAATAAATAAATAAATAAATAAAAGACAAACCGGGCAATAAAGTAAATAAACCCTCCCACCCAGCTGTCTCCATAAATAAATAAATAAATAAATAAATAAATAAATAAATAAAAACAATAAAACAAAAACGAAAAAAACCAGAAACAAAAAAACAAACAAAGAAACAAACTAAATAAACAAAAAGACAAACAAATAAATAAATAAATAAATAAATAAATAAATAAAAGACAAACCAGGCAAAAGAGTAAATAAACCCTCCCACCCAGCTGTCTCTAAAGTATAATTTGTATGATCTGTTGCCGTCCATGCGTTCGTTCCTTGCGAGAGACAACGAGCAGCAGCTTTGTCTAGAAAACCCTAAACACAAACCCTAAACCCTAAACCCTAAACCCTCATAAACCCTAAACCCTTGTAAACCCTAAACCCTTGTAGAGTCTAAGAACTGCTTGGCCCTTGCGAGAGACAACGAGCAGCAGCTTTGTCTAGAAAACCCTAAACACAAACCCTAAACCCTAAACCCTAAACCCTAAACCCTCATAAACCCTAAACCCTTGTAAACCCTAAACCCTTGTAGAGTCTAAGAACTGATTGGCGTTCGTTCCTTGCGAGAGACAGCGAGCAGCAGCTTTATCTAGAAAACCCTAAACATACCCTAAACCCTAAACCCTAAACCCTCATAAACCCTAAACCCTGACAAACCCTTGTAAACCCTAAACCCTTACAAACCCTCATCCAAAACCTGTGCAAACCCCTAACCTGCAAAAACCCTAAACCCTCATAAACCCTAAACCCAAAACGATGAAGACTTACAAGCACTAAACCCTTATAAACCCTAAACCCTAAACCCTAAACCCTAAACTGGGGAACCTACTGGCGGGGGCATCCACAATCCATCACCCTTTCGGGTGGTTTAGGGCTTAGGGTTTAGGGTTTAGGGTTTACGTTGTGGTTTTGGGTTTACATTATTGAGGTTGCTAAGGTGTTAGGGTTTAGGGTTTATGTTGTAGAAGTGTTGTACTGTTTAGGGTTTAGGGTTTAGCTTGACTTCGTGGCTTCAGGGTTTAGGGTTTAGGGTTTACGCTGTACAAGTAGGGGTTTAGGGTTTAGGGTTTAGGGTTTGTTGTTGATTGCCTGCTGCTTGTGGTTTATTGTTTATCGTTTATTGTTTAGCATATTAAAAAAAATTAGGGTTTAGGGTTTAGGGTTTAGGGTTTAGGGTTTACCTTATAGGGGTAGTTTTT